AGTTTTATGCCATGTGTTTATCAGTGAGATTGAATACATATGTGTGTATATAAATGCTCTGTTTGTTTTGAGTGACGCCATAACTTAAAAACCGCTGGACTAATTGTCACCAAATTTGACCACAAGACACCTATTAACCCAAGGAGTGACCATCACAATAAAAATTAGATTTTGTCATTTGGGAATTGTAGTTGTTGGGATTTATAGTTAGCCTACAATCAAAGAGCATTCTGAACTCCACCAACTATGGAATTGAACCAAACTTGGCACCCCCCCCCCCTTTTTTTTATTGTATCAGGAGCGACTTGAGAAACTGCAAGTCGCTTCTGGTATGAGAGAATTGGCCGTCTGTAAGGACATTGCCCAGGGGACGCCCGGATGATTTGATGTTTTTGTCACCCTTGTGGGAGGCTTCTCTCATGTCCCCACATAAGGAGCTTGAGCTGATAGAGGGAGCTCATCCACGCTCTCCCCGGTTTCGAACCTGTTGGTCTTCAGTCCTGCCAGCACAGGGGTTTAACCCACTGCGCCACTGGGGGCTGGTAAACTGGCTGGGATTTCTAGGCCAAAATACCTGGGGAGTCACAGGTTGAGAACCACTGCTTTAGAACAAGATGGCCCCCAAACTACTCACATAAGCAACCCAAGACTCCCCTGACCATAGAAAACACTACAAGGGTTTGGTGGGCATTGACCTTGAGTTTTGGAGTTGTCGTTCACCTACAACCAGATAGCACTGTGGACTCAAACAATAAAGATCTAGACCAAACATGGCCCAAATATAAACACATATGGAGTTTGGGGGAAATAGACCTTGACATTTCGGTGTTGTAGTTGCTGGGATTTATAGTTCGCATACAGTCAAAGAGCATTCTGAACCCACCAATGATAGAATTGGGCCAAACTTCCCGCACAAAACCCTCATGACCAATAGAAAATACTGTTTTCTGGTGGCCTTTGGCGACCCTTCTGACGACCCTCATGATCCCCTCCCCGGGGTCCCAACACCCAGGTTGAGAAATGCTGCCTTAAAGCCATCCAGTTCAACTCCTTTCACCAGGGCAAGAAAACATAATCAAAGCCCTCCTGACAAAGAGCCATCCAGCCATAGATATAGATAGATATATATGATTCACACACACATATATATGTATATGACAGATATAGTACCATAGATTTGAAAGGGACCCCTAAAGAAGGACAGTTATATGTTGGATGTTCCAGAGTAGGAAAACTAGACAATTTTTACATCAACACTGACAAAGAAACAACAAGAAAGCACAGATGTACCCTTGGATATTATATTAAATTCCTGTGCTCCATCCTTTGGAATCCTGCAATTGGTAGTTTTCAGCAGATGCTCAGTCTTCACAGCCAGAGAGCTCTAGTACCTCACCAAACTGAAAGTCCCAGGTTTTTCTTTAGGGTAAATCCTGATTTATCATGCCATCACAATGCTCTATTCTCTGTATTCTCCAGGGGCTTTGGACTTCATTGTCGTCCCTTTGCAACCTTCCTTTGCTTTTCCAATGTGCCTTTCATTTTTTTCTTCCTGTGGAAAATCAGTTAACTGGAAAAAAAAGAATATTTGCGACATGGCAATTACTTGTGTGTGGAATACTCCACTTGAAAATCCCTATGGTCTGCCATCCAGGGTGAATAGAAGTAAGCCTCACTGAATATAGTGAGATTTGCTACTATGGAAGCATTTAGAGCACTGAGAGCCGCGGTGCTGCAATGGGTTAAACTCTTGTGCCAGCTGAACTGCTGACCTGAACTGTGAAACCCATGAGCCGATTTGCTTTCTTCTGTGTGAAAGCAGAATGTGGCCATAATGAGACCACAAAAATATCCACAAAAATATCAAGTGATAGATTGAACCACTTGGAAGTAAGATTCTTTTCAATTCCTAGAAAGCTGCCAACTTGGACTTCATTTTTCCGATAACAGGGACTTGAGATAGGAATACTCCACTTTATGCCCACTACTACTCTCTTCGTAGCCCAAAACCAGTGGTGACGAACTACATGGTGGATGAAGATCAAGTTTCACACACCTCCACTCTCCCAAGGCCAATCTCACCCTATCCTGTTCCTAAAGGAGATCTGTATTTAGCTCCAGACATTGTTCAATGCCATTTTTGGACATCACTTTGGCAATTTTTGGCACAACATATATGTAGGGATTTGGGTGATGTATGAGGCTGGTTTGCAACAGTTGGGCAAGGTTTTGGCCCATGGTCTTGACCTCTTACCTCTTGGACCTGAGAGCAACCACATCCAGCGAGAATTTAAAGTTGTGTCCAATTGTATTGCCAAAGGCTTTCATGGCCGGAATCACTGGCCGGAATCACTGGGTTGTTGGTTGGTCTTGGACCTGAGAGCAACCACATCCAGCGAGAATTTAAAGTTGTGCCCAARTGTATTGTKGAAGGCTTTCATGGCCGGAATCACTGGGTTGTTGTAGGTTTTTTGGGCTGTATGGCCATGTTTTAGAAGCATTCTCTCCTGACGTTTTGCCTGCATTTATGGTAGGCATCCTCAGAGGTTGTGATGTCCTCACAACCTCTGAGGACCTCACAACCTCTGAGGATGCCTGCCATAGATTTAGGCAAAACGTCAGCAGAGAATMCTTCTAGAACATGGCCATACAGCCKAAAAAACCTACAACAACCTTATGCCCCATTGTTTTTTTTTTCTTTTTAGATAGAAAACTTACCCAGAACTAGTTCTGGAATTCAAACAGACGCACACGCACATTGCTCTGGAAGGTGGGTTGAGTCAGGGAGGGGTGCGGCACCTTGAAATAATACACTCTGCCCACATGCTGAAATGGTTCAGGCCAAATCCGATATACAGGTGGGATTAGCTATGCAATGGGTTTCATCCCGCCGCATCTCTCTTGCCGTGCTGCTACGCAGACACCAGAGGAACCTAATCTTCCCTTTTCTCCCCCCCCCCCTTTTATTTTGCCCTGCAACTTGAGACGCCCCATTAAAATGAGATTATTTTGGTTTTGAAACAAGCAAAGAGGCTGCTTGGCATACAGTGACAATTGACAGAAACCAGCCAAACATTCAGAGGCTTAAGGAATGGGAGGGTAAGTTGTGAAGCCATTGTGTTGCTCTCCACCCACGAGGTCATATTCATGTCATCCTTATCCATCAGTGTTGGATGGAGGAAAACGTGTTGTCTTTATGTTGACATGAAATGCGCAGTGATCCTGTGAACAAGATAAGAGAAATCTTGGCCAATGGAAAGAAAGGGTTTTAGGCCAAGATCCTGCACCAAAGAACTGTAGTGTAACGTTAGACCATAATCGCCACTTTTTTGTATAACTGCAAGCTGTACGACCAAAAGCATATTATGCATTGATGTGCAGCACACCGGGTGCATCTGTACTGTAAAATTAATGCAGTATGACACAGCGCGAATGGCAATGGCCCAATGGTATAGCATCCTGGGAGTTGTAGTTTTCCAAGGTCCTTAGTCTTTTCTGCTAAAGAGCGATGGTGCCTCTCCAAATTATAACTCCCAGGGTTCCATAACATTGAACCATGGCAGTGAAAGAGGTGTCATGTCACATGTAGATGCTCCCATCGCCATGTGCAACCATGTAATCAATGCCTAGTGAACAATGACATGCAATGTTGTGCACATTTGCGTAACTCTACTTTCATGAGTATTAAGTGAATAAGGATGTAACACATTGACCAAACCCCTCTCATCCGGCAGGTAAAAGGCACTTAGGCTGTATCCACACCACAGAATTTTAACAGTTTGACACTACATTAACAGCCGTGGCTCCATGCTATGGAATTATGGGATTTGTAGTTGGGTGAGATATTAACCCTTCTCTGCCAAAGAGATCTGAAGCCACAACAAGTCACAAATCCCAGGATTCCATAGGATAGAGCCATGGCAGTAAAAGTGGTGTCAAACTACTATAATTCTTCAGTATAGAACAGTGGTTCTCAATCTTCCTAATGCTGTGACCCCTTAATATAGTTGCTCACATTGTGGTGACCCCCAACCATAAAATTATTTTTGTTGCTACTTCATAACTATAATTTTGCTACTGTTATGAATTGTAACGTAAATATCTGATATGCAGGATGTATTTTCATTCACTGGACCAAATTTGGCACAAATACCCGATATGCCCACATTTGAGTACTGGTTGGGTTGGGGAGGGGTTGATGTTGTCATTCAGGAGTTGTAGTTGCTGGGATTTATAGTTAACCTATAATCAAACAGCATTCTGGACTCCACCAATGATGGAATTGAACCTACAACCATGACCAACAAAAATACTGGAAGGGTTTGATGGGCATTGACCTTGAATTTTGGAGTTGTAGTTCACTACATCCAGAGAGCACTGTGGACTCAAGCAAGGATGGATCTGGACTTAACTTGGCATGAATACTCAATATGCCCAAATGTGAACACTGGTGGAGTTTGGGGAAAATAGACCTTGACATTTGGGAGTTTTAGTTGCTGGGATTTATAGTTAACCTACAATCAAAGAGCATTCTAAACCACACCGACAGAATTGAGCCAAATTTCCCACACAGAACCCCCATGACCAACAGAAAATACTATTTTCTGATGGTCTTTGGTGACCCCTCTGACACCCCCTCATGACCCCCTCAGGTGTCCTGACTCCCAGGTTGAGAAACGTTGGTGTAGAAAGTCTTGTAGAAGCTTTAAGACACCATTACGATGCCAGACTTATTAAATGGATTAAACCTGCATGTATTAGCAAATGTCGAAAAAAATTTTTTTGGTGAGACCTTGTGTATCAAAGCATACTCCGACAGAATATTGTCATGCTCCAAACCCTTCACCAATACTTTACTCTTGAGAAAATTCTAAATGAGTTCAGTTTGGGAATGCTTACTGTTGCAACAGCTCAACGCTTTTGTTTGTTGCCAGCCATTTCTCCGGCCTCAGTAGAAGAGCCTTTTGTGATTATATGTTTTTGTGCTCTTCTCTTTCCAGAATGAAAATCCAGGTCCGGGATGCTATAATATCACCAAAGAATTGCCAGTTCAAAACAATGTCTCCCAGTCCGTAAAAGGAACTTGCTTTTTCCCTTCGTTGGTAAGTGAAAGGGTTCATGTATATGCATTAAGGTGGCGTTTTGGAAACATGAAATGCTTTTGCAGTTTGTGCTCATAGCATCTGGACTGCTACATACTCAAATGTGGAAAAATGCAGAGATTTTGGTGTTATACAATTGGATGATGACTATTGTGGAGCTAATAGAAATGGATGAATGAACAGCTTTGTAAAGGATGTGTCATTTTGATACATTTTTGGAAGCATGGGGACCTTTTCAACTATTTTTACATGAGACAGAAGCACATATAACATTGGCAAGTTTAAAGAAATACTTGAGGGGATATTTGTTTTTTGTTTTATAATGCAAGCAGAAATATATATTTTGCTGTGGATTAGCTGGAAGAAAAAGTAAAGCTATATGGAATTCAGGGAGTCCCCGGTGGTGCAGTGGGTTAAACCACTGAATTGCTAAGCTTGTTGACCGAAAGGTCGCAGGTTCGAATTTGGGGAGCGGTGTAAGCATCTGCTGTCAGCCCCAGCTTCTGCCAACCTAGCAGTTCGAAAACATGCAAATGTGAGCAGATCAGTAGGTACCGCGGGAAGGTAACGGCGGTTCATGCCGGGCACATGACTTTGGAGGTGTCTATGGACAACGCTAGCTCTTCGGCTTAGAAATGGAGATGAGCACCACACCCCAGAGTTGGACACGGCTGGACTTAATGTCAGGGGACTTAATGTCAGGGGACAACCTTTACCTTTTACCTATATGGAAATCAATCCTGGCAAAACAGGAAATTAAGTATGTTTGTGCTTCAGGTTTATAGACTGTAGAGACGTATAGCTATGCGCAAACTGCATTAACAGAAAAGTTTTGTGTCTATGAGTGCATCTATACAGAATGAATGCAGTTTGACGTTAGTTTCATTGCCGTAGCTCCATGCTATGGAATCCTGGGATGTGTAGTTTGATGAGACTACAGCACTCTTTGGCAAAGAAGGCTACAGGCCTTGTAAAACTTCAACAGCTATGACTCCATACCATTGAGCCAAAGCAGTTAAGTAGTATCACAATGCATTATTAACTCAACAGTGTAGATGGACTCTGAGTCTACATTGCATGTGTTAAAGCTCAGTCTAATATATTATGGTGTTTTCACCATCATGGTATGAGGAAAGAAGGCAGATTTTCTTAGGACAGTTGTGAAATTCTCCCAATTCATAATGGCAGTGGTTCTCAACCTTCCTAATACCGCGACCCCTTGATACAGTTCCTCATGTTGTGGCGACCCCCAGACATAAAATTATTTTTGCTGTTACTTCATAACTGTAATTTTGCTACCGTTATTAATTGTAATGTAAATATCAGATATCCAGGATGTATTTTCATTCACTAGACCAAATTCGGCACAAATACCCAATACGCCCAAATTAGAATACTGTTAGGGTTTGGGAGGGGTTGATTTTGTCATTTGAGAGTTGTAGTTGCTGGGATTTATAGTTCACCTACAATCAAAGAACATTCTGAACTCCACCAATGATGGAACTGAACCGTACTTGGCACGCAGAACTTCCATGACCAACAGAAATTACTGAAAGGGTTCAGTGGGCATTGTCCTTAAGTTTGGGAGTTGTAGTTCACCTACATCCAGAGAGCACTGTGGACTAAAACAATGACGTATCTGGAACAAACTTGGCATGAATACTCAATATGCCCAAATGTGAACACTGGTGGAGTTTGGGGGAAATAGACTTTGACATGTTGGTAGTTGTAGTAGCTGGGATTTATAGTTCACCTACAATCAAAGAGCATTCTGAACCACACCAATGATAGAATTGAGCCAAACTTCCCACACAGAACCCCCATGCTCAACAGAAAATACTGTATTTTCTGATGGTCTTCGGCGACCCCTCTGACACCCCCTCGTGACCCCCATAGGGGTCCCGACCCCCAGGTTGAGAAACACTGCATTATGGAGTCCACCTTGGAGCCCTTCTGGTCCATCATAAATTGTTCTAGAAGAAGTGGGATTATCAAACCAATATAGTAGCTAGCTGCTATCACCCCATGTGCCACATTCATAGCAAAGTCACTAAAAGGAGGAGGCGGACCAGTGGGTAGCTTTTGCTACCTCAAATAAATGCATACAAGTCAGTCCTAACTGGGTGGCAAATTCTTTATTAAGATGATAATCAGGTAATGAATGCGATTGGGTCAAGCAAAGCCTGTTTTTCCTTGTGGAGCTGGAAGCAGCTGAAGAACCAATCCAGAAAGTAGTTGTTACCAAGCAGTCAGTTTAGATCGCCCCCTTCCTTTCTCGCAGCCTTATGTAATAGGAAGGAAAGCACAGGAGAATATGGTGTTGGAGGAGATGATGACAGCAACTGGTGGCTTCCTTTTAGTTGGGTTAGTAAATCTGCTCTTTTATTCCAACTCTTAAAGGAGCTATCCAAGGTGCTGACACCTATCTGTTCCAAATAGGTTTCAGCCCCTTTGATACTTCCCTCAACATTTGGAGTTAAACTTTGGAGAAGATGCATCGCCTTGAGAGACACCAGACTCAGTTTAACATGGCAGAAGATCATTTGAATGCCAGCCTCCTAGGTTATCAATCCGTGGAATGTATAGTTCAGGTTAAACAGACTTCTTTTAACAGATAAATAAGTTGCCGTTACAAAAAACCATGATGGATCTAGAATTAGTTCCAGCTCAGATGGGCTTTCCAAATACGTGAAACATTAGAGGTGCTTTTCAAACTTGTGTACTGAAACAAAATGCATCACGCTGGAAAACTATATTCCCAAGAATGTTGACAACTTTGTGGTGTCCACCATAATTTCCAAGACATCCGTCATCACTTCCAAGATGGAAAGTAGCTCCTTAAGTGTCCTGTCTACCCCGATATTTAGCATATTTTGTGATTGCTCTCCAGCCAGTTCTTTTCAGAACAGTTCATGTGGTGCCAAAATAATTTTGAGGCTGGCAACAAGCCTAGCAATGTCTAGAAAGTATTTGAGATTTGGATTATTCAAGTATGGTTTTCACATTTTCAGGTTGCCTCTACAATTCAGGACAGCATTTCTCAACCTCTGACGCTCCAATGATTTGGAATTCAGGCATCCCAAGCATCATGACCAATGGTCAGGAATTCTGGGAGTTGAGAATAATTGGTCTAGAGAACCCTTTTTGGGTGTAGCAGATCAGAAAAGGGCTCCTTTGCTTTGGAGAGCCCAGGTTTTGGGATGTATGCCAACCAATGTTGTCTTCCTTGCAGGATACTCGCATTGCCCGCCAGAGGATCCCCAGCTACCCTGCTGCCAATGCCTATGACCTCCCTCCTACATTGCAGTCCAAGCAAGACTTCAGCCTGGGATATTCCAGCATGTTTCAACAACCAATTGCTAGGAAAATATCCAAAAGACCCACCCCTGCGCCCAACCAATACAATGTAAGGCAGTTTGGAGAAGGGGAGAGAGCGCCACAGAGGGAGTGGCAAATTCAAAAAGCGAACAGGGAGGAAGATGGTGGAGGGAGGAATTATCTTTTTAACTTAATTTGTATTAGATTTCCAAAAACTCTAATCCAATTAATTGAAAAAAAGAAAAAAAGAAAAAAGAAAAGTACCAAAATAAAACAAAATCTATACTAAAATAATCCCCTAATACTTCCTCTCCATCATTTCTCCCCTCTCCTGTATCCACTCCCCTTTAAAAAAAATTAAAATTCCTTTAAAAATATGATTACTGGCCCAGAGTGGGCTACTCTAAATCAGCAATGCCAGAATTTCCACTGCACTGCGGTATTCATAGTCAACTCTCTGCATTTGCAGATTTTGCTTTTGCAGATTTGATTATTCACAGATTTGATTCAATATATGGGGATACCAATTCACTTTGTCCCCAGAGGAACATATATAACGACCAAGTAACAACAATAAGAACAGACCACAGAACAACAGGCTGGTTCAAGATTGGGAAAGGAGTATGGCAGGGCTGTATACCTTCACCCAACCTATTCAACTTGTATGCAGAACACATCATGCGATGTGCGGGGCTTGACGAATCCAAGGCTGGAGTTAAAATTACTGGAAGAAGCATTAACAAACTTAGATATGCAGATGGTACCACTTTGATGGCTGAAAGCAAGGAGGAACTGAGGAACTGTCTAGCCAAGGTGAAAGAAGAAAGTGCAAAAACTGTGTTGCAGTTAAACATCACAAAAATCATGATGATGGTGACCAGACAAATTGACAACTGGCAAATAGAGGGAGAAAAGGTGGAGGCAGTGACAGACTTTGTTTTTCTAGGAATGAAGATGACTGCAGATGCAGACTTCAACCAGGAAATCAGAAGATGTTTACTTCTTGGGAGGAGAGCAATGACCAATCTCGATAAAATAGTGAAGAGTAGAGACATCACATTGGCAACGAAGATCCGCATAGTTAAAGCAGTGGCATTTGCGGCAGCAACCAATGGATGTGAGAGTTGGACCATAGAGAAGGCTGAGCGAAAGAAGATAGACGCTTTGGAAGTGTGGTGTTGGAAGAAAATTCAGAGTGCCTTGGACCGCAAGAAGATCCAACCACTCCATCCACCAGGAAAGAAAGCCCGACTGCTCACTGGAAGGAAGGATATTAGAGGCAAAGATGAACCATTTGGGCCACTTAAAGAGAAGACAAGAGAAGCTCAGAGAAGGTCATGATGCTGGGGAAAATGGAAGGGAAAGGGAAAGGGGCCGACCAAGGGCAATGTGGATGGATATTATCCTTGAAGTAACTGGCTTGACCTTGAAGGAGATGAGGTGGCGACAGTCGAGAAGGAGCTCTGGTATGGGCTGGTCCATGAGGTCACAAAGAGTTGGAAGTGACTGTATGAATAAACAACAACATTCTTTCTATGAATCTCTGCATCCTCCAGTACCACTTGATGTCCAATTTTTTTCTTGGACTTTTTTATATGAAAAAAAATACATTTTGTGAACAACCATTGAAATCTGTAAATGTATTGATTTACCATTTAGCAATTGACTGAATGGCCCTACTTTAGATGGGACTAACCAAAACAATGCCAAGAATCATTTCCTGTACAGAAAAAAAGTTTTTCAGCATGAGGAAATTGTTTCTATTTTTTTGGTCTATAAAGCAACTTCTGCCTAACTCCTTGGGACATCCAGAAATGGGGAGAATACTGATGGAAATATTTGTTTTTTCCCAATGCAAGAAGAAATCTTATCTGTCCTTTCATGGAAGAATGAAATAGAGCCACTTTGGAAAGCCAATGTGATGAGAGCTGCCACGGTTAGTGGTTTGATTGCTGGAATTACAACTCTGGGGACCATGATTTGAAACCTTGCTTGGCCATGGAGACTGACTGGTTGATCTTGAGCAAGTTACACTCTCTCAGCCCCTGAAAATCCTATGATATTGTCCCCTAAAGCTCAGCATAAGTCGGAAACAACCTGAAGGCACACAACATCCATTGGAAAGGATGTATCCATTGGCCTCAGAAGATGAGATGGCATTATCATCCAGAGAATAATACAAAGTTGGGACATCCAAACTTTCTTACAGTTCTGATTCAGAGGAATCGTCAAATGTCTGGTGGCTTTTGGCATTTCACGCTGCTAAATTATAGTGCTTTCAGACCATCTTAATGCGTGTGGCTTCATCTACTGTAATCCTAGGATTTGTAGTTTTGTGACAGTATTTAGATTACCCTGCCAGAGTGCTCTAGCTCTTTGCTGCACTACAAATCCCAACATGCCATAGAAATTAATCATGAGTCACTATGGTATCAAAGTACTTCAGTGGTTTCATCTTCTGTAATCCTAGGATTTGTAGTTTTGTGACAGTATTTAGATTGCCCTGCCAGAGTGCTCTAGCTCTTTGCTGCACTACAAATCCCAACATGCCATAGAAATTAATCATGAGTCACTATGGTATCAAAGTACTTCAGTTATGCAGTGTGAAACAGGCCCGAGATTTGCCCAAACCAGAAATGTGAATATTGTTTTCTGAAATGAGAATATCATTTGCTACGGTTTTAAATAGAGTTGTCCCCCCAGCCCAGCCTCCAAAATCTGTACAAAAAGGAACAAAAAGTCCAGACTTGTGTCCTTGTCTCTTTTTAGGACAGTGTTGACATTGCCTTTGTCCCAAAGTCATGCTGTGCTGTGCAGGGCATTATTACTGCCTGTCATCCACACCCTGACAAAAGTACTAGCTTCTGTTGAAGAATATAAATAGGCTTTCTCCTGGGAAGAAGCTTCTCCAGTTAATCACAAACATGTGATTTACGCTTTGAGATGATGCATAAAAGTTGGGGAAGCCAAGCAGGAAATGATCCATTTGGAAGAGCAGACAGAAGCAGTAACTGAGGGTCATAGACAGATGCAAGCAGAATTTGGAAAGGAATTAAGGTCTTAGGTTTGCGGTTTATAATCAGGCTCAATGGTAATAATAGTGATGGTGATGATGATGATGATGATAATAATAATAATAATAATAATAATAATAATAATAATAATAACAACCATTTGTTGCATTTGTATCCTGCCTTTCACCCAGAATGAACGCCATATAATATTGATTATTTATTAAATTGTTGCTTTTATTTATTGTATGTTTACTGTATGTCTTCTTTTCCCCAGCAGGACCCTATTATTATTATTATTATTATTATTATTATTAGTAGTAGTAGTAGTAGTAGTAGTAGTAGTATTTTCGTGTCAGGAGCGACTTGAGAAACTGCAAGTCACTTCTGATGTAAGAGAATTGGTCCTCTGCAAGGACGTTGCCCAGGGGACGCCCGGATATTTTGATGTTTTACCATCTTTGTGGGAGATTTCTTTCATGTCCCCGCATGAGGAGCTAGAGCTGACAGAGGGAGCTCATCCATGCTCTCCTCGGATTCGAACCTCTGACCTGTCGGTTATCAGTCCTGCTGGCACATGGGTTTAACCAACTGTGTCACTAGGGGCTCCAATAATAATAATAATAATAATAATAATAATAATAATAATAATAATAATAATAATATGGCACAAATACCATCTGCCTGTGACAAAGAACTGGTGGGATCACAAGCCGGAAAAAGTTCCTGAACACGTCAAGCTACTCTGGGACTTCCGGATTCAGACAGACAGAGTTTTGGAGCACAATACTCCTGACCTCATGATCGTGTTAAAAAACAAAGTATGGATTGTCGATGTTGCAATCCCAGGTGACAGCAAGATTGAAGAGAAACAACTGGAAAAGATGACACGATATGAGGATTTAAAGATCGAACTGCAAAGACTCTGGCACAAACCAGTAAAGGTGGTCCCAGTGGGTGCAGTGCCTAAAGACCATGGCCTGCACTTAAACACAATCGGCGCTGACAAAATTACCATCTACCAGCTGCAGAAGGCCATCTTACCAAGATCTGTACGCATTATTCGCCGATACATCACACAGTTCTAGACACTTGGGAAGTGTCCGACGTGTGATCCAATACGACAGCCAGCAGAGTATCTGCTGTGGACTCATCTTGTGGTGTTTCAATAATAATAATAATAATAATAATAATAATAATAATAATAATAAATGTATTGCAAGTGTATGCCACCTTTCTCCCAGAATTCAACCCTTATAATATCTATTCTTGTTGTTGTTGTTGCATTTGTATGTCTCCTTTCTCCCAGTTTGGTGAGACACCAGCACACTCTGGGAAAGAAGGCCGAAGACCTTGGAAAACGACAACTCTCAGGATTCCCTAGCGTTGCACCATAGTAGTTAAAGTGATGTCAAATGCATTGGTTCAACATTGTAGGTGTGCCTTTGGAAAGTATCTCTGATACCTTTCCTACAATCTGTTTTAGGACGGTAGACAAATCCATCCCAAATTCTTCATCACGTTTTGCTCTTCCAGTGATGCCCCAGTGATGTCATTTATGAGCCAGGACCTGTGCATGATTCATTTTGACAGGTAATTGGTGCCTGGCTCCTTTATGGATTAGAAATCATCATTCTTTTTTTTTCTTTTTCATGTTAAAAAAAGAATTTATTATGGAGTGAAACCAGCAGTTTCACCTCTCCCTTGGGGTAGGGCCAGATTGAGAACACGCCGAGGCCCTGAGCTATTTCCAGCTTGAAAGGCCTCGTGGCATTATCCCCAAAATGCCTATTATTTTTCCTCATCTTGAAACGGAGGCCTCTTCAGTCTTCAGAATCTCCTTGTCAACTGAGACCCTAAACCAGGGGTCCTCAAAGTAAGGCCCGGGGGATGGATATAGCCCTCCAATGTCATTTACCCGGCCCTCACTCAAGGTCAACCTAAGTCTGAAATGACTTGAAAGCACACAACAACAACAATCCTATCTCATCAGCCAAAAGCAGGCCCACACTTCCCATTGAAATACTAATAAGTTTATATTTGGGTTGTTGTAGGTTTTTTCGGGCTATATGGCCATGTAGAACACATCATGCGAGGATGTGCGGGGCTTGATGAATGCAAAGCTGGGGTGAAAATTGCTGGAAGAAACATTAACAACCTCAGATATGAAGATGACACCACTCTGATGGCCGAAAGCGAGGAGGAGCTGAGGAGCCTTCTAATCAAGGTGAAAGAAGAAAGCGCAAAAGCTGGGTTGCAGCTAAACATAAAAAAAACCCAAGATTATGGCAACAAGAATGATTGACAACTGGGAAATAGAGGGAGAAAATGTGGAGGCCGTGACAGACTTTGTATTTCTAGGTGCAAAGATTACTGCAGATGCAGACTGCAGCCAGGAAATCAGGAGACACTTACTCTTGGGAGGAGAGCAATGACCAATCTCGATAAAATAGTTAAGAGTAGAGACATCACACTGGCAACAAAGATCCGCATAGTCAAAGCCATGGTATTCCCTGTAGTAACCTACGGATGTGAGAGCTGGACCTTAGGGAAGGCTGAGCGAAGGAAGATAGATGCTTTTGAACTGTGGTGTTGGAGGAAAGTTCTGAGAGTGCCTTGGACTGCGAGAAGATACAACCAGTCCATCCTCCAGGAAATAAAGCCCGACTGCTCACTGGAGGGAAGGATACTAGAGACAAAGTTGAAGTACTTTGGCCACATCATGAGGAGACAGCAAAGCCTAGAGAAGACAATTATGCTGGGGAAAGTGGAAGGTAAAAGGAAGAGGGGCCGACCAAGGGCAAGATGGATGGATGGCACCCTTGAAGTGACTGGACTGACCTTGAAGGAGCTGGGGGTGGTGACGGCCGACAGGGAGCTCTGGCGTGGGCTGGTCCATGAGGTCACGAAGAGTCGGAGACGACTGAACGAATGAACAACAACAGGTTTTTTCGGGCTATATGGCCATGTTCTAGAGGCATTCTCTCCTGACTTTCGCCTGCATCTATGGCAAGCATCCTCAGAGGTAGTGAGGTCACAGACCTCACTACCTCTGAGGATGCTTGCCATAGATGCAGGTGAAACGTCAGGAGAGAATGCCTCAGAACATGGCCATATAGCCTGAAAAAAACCTACAACAACCCAGTGATTCCAGCCATGAAAGCCTTCGACAAGTTTATATTTGTTAAAATTGTTCTTCATTTTAATTATTGTATTGTTTTTAATTTTTTTTGCACTACAAATAAGATATGTGCAGTGTGCATAGGAATTCATTCTTTTTTTTTTCCAATTATAATCCAGCCCTCCAACAGTTTGATGGACTGTGACCTGGCCCTCTGTTTAAAATGTTTGAGGACCCCTGCCCTAAACCGTACTTAGGTTGTACGTGAATCCAGTATTTCTTAGTGAATGTGTGCAAGCCACTTTCTGGAGCAGAAGGCATATTGAAAACATCCCCTGCTTGCTCTCAATAAGATGTGGAAGTGTGTGGATTGGAGCCTTGGGCTGTGTGTGTCCTATTTGTGAAATTGTTCATTCCTGACTTCCATTGACTCTGAGACCCAATTTACACAGTAGACTTAATGCAGTTTGTAATGGCCTGCTTTGGATTGCTGGGAGTTGTAGTTTGGCAAAGAGAAGGCAAAAGAGAGAAGACACCCTTTGGCAGACAAGGCAAAAGACCTTATATAATTCCCACTATTCTATAGCATTGAAACTGAATTAATTATACAATATATTCTACTCCTACCTTATTTCTTCAAAAATAACACTTAACCAGAAAATAAGCCCTAGCATGAAGGTTCTTCAGGATGCTCATAATATAAGACCTTCCTCAAAAATAAGCCCCAGTTGAGATCATCAGCCAGACAGACGCATTTACGAGTAGTACCGTATATACTTGAGTATAAGCCGACCCGAATATAAGCTGAGGCACCTAATTTTACCACAAAAAGCTGGGAAAATTGATTGACTTGAGAATAAGCTGAGGGTGGGAAATGCAGCAGCTATTGGTAAATTTCAAAATAAAAATAGATACAAATAAAATTACATTAATTGAGGCATCAAGAGGTTAAATGTTCTTGAATATTTAAGAGAAGACTGCCCAACTCTGTTTAAATCATTCTGACCTTCTTCAATGTAAATGTGCTTGTGTATCCTTCCAATAAAAATAAATAGATTAAAATAATAAAGGAAATAATAATAATAATAATAGAGTAATATAATGGAAATGTAATATTAACAATAATAATAAATAGAGTAAAATAATAAATGCAATAATAACAACAATAAAGTAAAATAATAAATGTAATAATAATTATGCATTTATTATGTATTGATAACAGAGTAAAATAATAAATAACCTTGACTCGAGTATAAGCTGAGGGGAACTTTTTCAGTCTAAAAAAAAGGACTGGAAAACTAGGCTTATACTTGAGTATATACAGTAAGTCCATTGCAACACATGATGGATGTATTGAGTGATAAAATAATTATTTTAATACATGGTTAAATATAAATAAATAATATTATTGACATTACTTCTTAAAGTAAATTATAATATAAATTATAATTCAGTATTTGTAAAGGCCCAAGTGGGCACCTGGGGGCGAGAGGCAAATGGTTCTCAATGTAAACAGATGAACTTGAGAGTTATTGCCAAAGGCCCAACTGAAGTACAGACACAATGCATGAATAATGTGTCGCTGGATAACGGACGGACATGGTTGTGTCTAATAGGGATCTTCATCATTCAATGCATTGTGTGTTGTAATGGATGCAGTTAATACACTCATTTGAAATAAAGAAATATTTTCTGAATGTTGCTGCCTGCAATGTTATTTATTTATTTATTTACTTTGCTTATATACTGCTGTTCTCAGCCCAGGGGCGACTCACAGCGGTGTACAACATAGGAACCACAAAATTCAAGACACAGTATAAAACAATTCACAATCCAGCATTATACAAAAAACATTGTCATTACTACGAAAACCATTCAGCGTCATCTCCAGGCCACAATCCAGTATCATTTCCGTTGTTCCATTCCTATAGTCATTACCAATCATTGCACTTCTTGTTCGAACGCTTTCTTGAACAACCAAGTCTTTAATTTCCTGCGAAATATCATCAGGGAAGGAGCCAGTCTAATGTCCGCGGGAAGTGTTTCACAGCCGAGGAGCCACCACCGAGAAGGCCCTATCTCTCGTCCCCGCCAGCCATGCTTGTGAAGCAGGCGGAATCGAGAGCAGGGCCTCCCCGGAAGATCTCAAAGTCCTGGTGGGCTCGTAGGTCGAGATGCGGTCGGATAGGTATCTTGGGCTGGAACCGTTTATTTTCTGACGCTTTTGTGTGGACCATCCTTCTTAACTGTCATCATTTTTGCTGCTTCTCCTCTCTCGTAAGTCTGCAATTGAGCCTTGATTTAATGCTAGATTTAAAGGGACTAATACATGAATCAATGTTGATTGTTGGAGATGACATCTCGTAAAAATAAGAGATTTTTGGAGCAATAATTATTATAAGACCCAGTCTTATTTTCGGGGACATACGGTACTTGAAACTCTCAGCAGTACCTAGGATCAAATATTCCTATTTGTTTGTTTGTTTCACTCTGCCGGAAGTGGGGCACCCGATGGCACAATGGGTTAAACCTTTGTGCCGATAAGACTGATGACCGACAGGTTGGAGGTTCGAATCCAGGGAGAGCGGAGATGAGCTCCCTCTGTCAAACATGGTAAAGAATCAAAAAACATTCGGCCATCCCCTGGGCAACATCCTTGCAGATGGCCAATTCTCTCACTCCAGAAGTGACCTTCAGTTTCCTAAGTTGCTCCTGACATGGAAAAAAAACTGCTAGAAAAGTCAGTTTGTCCCAAAGCTCTGCATTTTCGCACATAGGTCTCTTTGGACTTTTGCAAGCAGAAGAGCCACACAGGAGTCAAATCGGTGTTCTCCTCCAAAACTCAACGGTCGCTGTCACTCATTGGGAAAGAGCGAGTGCCTTCACCCTGTAAGTGGGTCCTAGTTTTTTTTTTTTATCTCTGTCAAAAATCATTGTATTTTGCAACTCATACATGTGCGCCATTGCACAACAGAGGGAGGCTCGCTCACCCCTTCCCCTCCTAGAAACCGGGCTTCCCCACCAGATCAGAACATTATGACTTCCTTGCTCACAGCTGCCTAGACGTCATTTGGGACATACCTATGACCTACAAGAGTAAAGGATGGAGAATAGCCCTGGACAAAAAGTAGAAGTATAGAGGCACTGAACATAGCCCCGGCACGCACACGCACAACGGGGTGCATAACGCATTAGCAGTTAGTATGGGCGAAAAGGTTGTTCCACATCACACCCATTAGCACTGTAAAGTGTCAATGTGCTTCTGCAGGTATCTGGTGCACAGTATATCACTGATCTGAGCTATATGGTATAACATATACAACCCATAACCTTAAGCAAGGGTGATAACACGCGAAATGCCATATCATCAAAAACTTGATGTAGTTTTTATTGTTCTGGAGTCAAATTGGTTGTATTGTTCTGGAGTCAAATTGGTTGTATCGTTCCTTTCTTCCTGCTTATTGCAAATCAGCCTTTGCCAACCCGAGAATGATCTCGCATTGGTTATGAGTCCCATCATCCTCAGAGAATATTATCTTGGTGATTAGGATGATGGGATTTATAACTCTGTCCACCAAGCTGAGGACAGGCATTTCAAAAGGTGCATCTACATTGTAGAATGAATGCACTTTCACACCACTTGAATTAGGAGCCCCCGGTGGCGCAGTGGGTTAAAGCACTGTGCCGGCAGGACTGAAGACCAACAGGTCGCAGGTTCGAATCCGGGGAGAGGCGGATGAGCTCCCTCTATTAGCTCCAGCTCCTCATGCGGGGACATGAGAGAAGCCTCCCACAAGGATGATAAAACATCAAAAATCATCCAGGCGTCCCCTGGGCAACGTCCTTGCAGACGGCCAATTCTCTCACAACAGGAGCGGTTGCTTGTGACACGACAAAAAACAAAAACAAAAACAAACCACTTGACTTGCTGTGGCTCAAGGATATGTCATCTTGCCGAAGAGTACGGGGCCTTATCAAACTACAAATCACAGGATTCTTCTATCCCATTGAGCCCTGGCAGTTAACTTGGTGTTAAACTGCACTGATTGTCTTAACTGGAGATTGAACTTGACGGAATTCATTTCTGGATAAATGGGCTTCCAGTAGGATAAACTAAGACAACTCCCATGGCTCAATGCTATGGACTCCTGGGGATTGTAAGTTTTGCAAAGTTGTTGGCCTTTTCTGAGAAAACTACAACTTCTGGAATTTCATATTGAGCCATGAGAGTTAAAGTGGCATCAAACTGAATCAATTCTACAGTGTACATGCACCCAAGGTCTCGCACTCTTTTTTCCCCTGTTTGCTAAAATATAAAATTGGATTAGATTGGGTTCTGTATTTCAACTGTGTGTTTTTTGTATCGATGTAGGTCATTACGAAATTAAGGACTCCTTCATTCGCCAGGCACCAACGATGTTGGTGTCCTGCTTCAAATCCAGAACGAAGCGTGAAACCAAACCGGAGACTCTGGGCCCCGGACCTGCAGCCTACCAGTGGCCGGCCGAAACCCCAAGGGCAGTGTACCAAAAGTTCCCTGGATTGTGAGTCTCCAAATTGCTTTTGTAAAAGGAAATCCACTTAAGCAGGAGATGAACCCACCTGCTTAGGAACAACAAAGAAACACACAAACTTGCGATGCTTCACAAAGTTAACCTCTAGGCTACAGTGTTTGCATTGTCCTGTCAGCATGGCCAGGTCTTGTAGTCCAAAAATATCCTTTTTAAAAAATGGACCATTTTATGGTAATTTGGGCACCAGAAGCCCTTTGTTACAATAGCTTCGCTTTTACCCAAGGAAAGCCTGGAAATCTATTATCCACAGATATGGGGGTCCAACGTGACATATTTTAGGACTACCGTATTTCCCCCCCCCCCCCAAAAAAAAGAACAGATCTTATATCAGTCTTTGCTTCAAAAGACACATTAGGACTTATTTTTAGGGGATGTATTAATTTATTGATATACAAAAATCTACACAGTTATTCTTTTATTCATATGTATACATCTCTTGTCGAAAGGTGCCATCTTGGATATTTACAAATACATAATCATAATTTATGTTATCATTGTATTGTCGAAAGCTTTCATGGCTGGAATCACTGGATTATTGTAGGTTTTTCGGGCTATATGGCCATGTTCTAGAAGCATTCTCTCCTGACGTTTTGCCTGCATCTATGGCAAGCAGAGGTTGTGAGGTCCTCACAACCTCTGAGGATGCTTGCCATAGATGCAGGCGAAACGTCAGGCGAGAATGCTTTTAGAACATGGCCATATAGCCCGAAAAACCTACAACAAGCCTACTGCTCTGATGCTTCATAGATGCAGCATTTATAGTATATAATTGTACTAATATTATTACTTCTTATGGAATAATTAGGAATCAGAGAGTGGAAGCGACAACATGGAAGTCAAACTAGAACCTATGGGGGTCTTTCTAACATTGTGGTCTTTTTTTTCTCAGGCCTCCTCTCTTCAACATTATATTTATTCATTCAGGCCCTCGTTTACTTCATCATACTATCACTCGTTTTTTCTCCTTCTTCACTCCTATGACCCGTACTATCTTTCCTCCGACCTATCAACTCGTTTCTCCATCCTAATGACTTATCTTACACACTTTTGTTTACTTCGTGTTTCTACTCTTTCCGTACCCTAGAATCTTCCAGCATACAGTTCTCTGCAATCATTTGTGCTTTCCTCCCGTTGATCACGTCTTTCTCGCATCTCCACATCCTTGCTTCCGTCTCATCGCATCCCTCAACGTACGTCCCTCACTTATTGATTGCTTTCGAACGTGAATAGATGCATTACTTCTGCATCTTGTGGTTCCTCACATCTTTACCTTCCTTTCCGTTCACCCATTTACCATTCATTCGATTACTTCCGTTACCTTAGTCATTATTCATTCTTCTATGCCATCTTTAACCCGCTCACCCTACTTCCTCATTCAGGCTTATGTTGTCGGTCTGCCTTCTTCCCTCCTTTATGCTTAATTTACCATCACATCCGGATACTCTTCCTTACCTCCCTCTTTCCTCCTCCCCGTAATTCATCCATCCTCCAATCTTTCCGTTTGTCTTTCTGCTTTCTCCATGTGGTCTCTGGAAATCACATGTATGGTATTTCCTGCGCCTGCACACAGTCAGTTCAGAATCTTCTAGAACAGTGGTTCTCAACCTGGGGTCCCCAGATGTTTTGGCTTTCAACTCCCAGAAATTCTAACAGCTGGTAAACTGGCTGGGATTTCTGGAGTTGTAGGCCAAAACACCTGGGGACCCACAGGTTGAGAACCACTGCTTTAGAAGTCTCTTGATACTCCAGCATGAATGGAGAAAGTAATACTGGAGGATCTAGTGGGGACCCCAGGTTGAGAACCACTGTTCTAGAACTCTTAAGATACATTTTGGCAGAAACCCCGCCCACACTTCCCATGGAGGTATACAGCCAGTGGGAGGGTCTACCGCCTCAGTTCCTTTTGTCCGCCACTTTAACAGCAGCTGGGAATCTCATGCTCTTCAGACTAGCATGTCCTCTACAACCTCCTTTGAAGTGATGGGCTTGTGGGAAGGAGCTACCAAAACAGTTGGGCATGCTTGGTGCCTACTCTGTCTGGGCGAGGGCCACAGCATATGCCTTTACTTATCCCCCCAATCTCACAAATCATGAGTCCCAGCTTTGAGGTCTCCTCGTGAGCAAGCCCCCTTTTTTCCCTGATCAGCCCAAGATTCAATCGGCGCCATCAGCCCAAGATTCAATCAGTACTTTCGGCTGGGAGCCTATCCCTCTTTCCTCCCTCCTTCCCTCTCTCCCTCTTTCTCCTTTCGTTCTTCCCTTCCTCCCATTCATTCTTTCTTTCTTCTCTCTTTCCTTCCTTCTTCCCTTCTTTCTGCCTAGCAGGGAGTGCTAGCATGCGGCCCCCAAGTTAGAAAGTTTGCCCATGCCTGATCTAGTCCAAGCCCCTGCCATTCAATATGTCTGTTGTGTGTTGCAACAGATGTATTAAATGCATTGATTTTGCTAATGATCTTAAGTGGGACATTTTTGCAAGGGTGGGGGGGGGGGTAGGGCTTATATTAGGAGCATCATAAAAAATCAGATCACCTGGGAAGGAATCCCACTGGAGCATTGCAGCACACCCAAATACCTGGGAGTCACTCTGGAGCGTGCTCTTACCTACAAGAAGCACTGCCTGAACATCAAACAAAAAGTGGGTGCTAGAAACAATATCATACGAAAGCTGACTGGCACAACCTGGGGATCACAACCAGATACAGTGAAGACATCTGCCCTTGCGCTATGCTACTCTGCTGCTGAGTATGCATGCCCAGTGTGGACCACATCTCACCACACTAAAACAGTGGATGTGGCTCTTAATGAGACATGCCGCATTATCACGGGGTGTCTGCGCCCTACACCACTGGAGAAATTACACTGCTTAGCCGGTATTGCACCACCTGACATCCGCCGGGAAGTAGCAGCCAATAGTGAAAGGACCAAGGCAGAGACATCTCCAGCTCATCCCCTGTTTGGGTATCAGCCAGCATCTCAACGACTTAAATCTAGACATAGTTTTCTAAGATCTACAGAGACACTCGCTGGAACACCTCAGCAAGTGAGAGTCCAAAAGTGGCAGGCTCAAACCCAGAACCTCAAGCAATGGCTGATACCAGATGAGAGACTCCCCCCTGGGCACACAGACTGGGCGACTTGGAAGGCGCTGAACAGACTGCGCTCTGGCACCACGAGATGCAGAGCCAACCTTCAGAAATGGGGCTACAAAGTGGAATCCTCGACATGCGAATGTGGAGAGGAGCAAACCACTGACCACCTGCTGCAATGCAACCTGAGCCCTGCCACTTGCACAATGGAGGACCTTCTTGCAGCAACACCGGAGGCACTCCAAGTGGCTAGATACTGGTCAAAGGACATTTAATCAGCTACCAAACTCACAAATTTTGTATTATGTCTGTTTGTTTGCTTTGTTCTGTTAGAAATGTAATATAATTGACTGGCTGCCTTGACACAAGAAATAAAATAAATAAAACAAATCATAAAAAATCATGCTAGGGCTTATTTTCTAGCTAGGTCTTATTTTCAGAGAAAAGAGATACAAAATAAGATTGAAAATACATTGCTGCCTTAACCTATAGAGGTAATCTATAGGAACTCTCCACTTTACCTCCTACCTGTCTCATGGTCCAATAAATCGATCAATCAGTCCAGTCAATTTTATGGGGATTAGCCTATGTTAAACAGCAGAGTCAAGTTGGCTCGAGATAAGATCTCCTCCTCTACATTCTTTCTCATTGCTTCAGCTCTGGCTGAAAAACCCTGCACATCGTTTGGGGGTATCTTTACTACATCTCTTGCTCTTTTAATGCAAGCTTTGTAGGCAAAGAGGGCAGGAGGGTGAGCCGGTGCTGGGTTGTGCCCAATAAACCGAGGCACAATGAGGGAAGATGTAAATCAAACCTGACGCACCAAGAACATCCATCTGGACTGGCAGATCATACCAGAACGATCAGCCCTTTCACTGAGAGAGAAAGTGGGAAAGAAAGCCATCCAGATCCCATTTATGTCAAGGTGATGAATGGCCTAAGGCCAGACGGACCATGCAATGCCACCCACTTTCCGCACCAGTTTGTTCCAGATCAGCATCCGTCTCTCATATTTCACTGCGGTCCTTTCTACTTTATTCTCGATGCCGCACCCCAAAGGTCTTTGGAAGGCCAGCGCTGAAATAGAGTGGCACCCAATGGAAATAACATTTTGGAGGATTCCCACAGTGCCTGGAAGCCGCTCCAAGTCCCGTCCCCCCCCGGGAGATAGGGGGCCTATAAATAAAGTATTACACTGTTCAACGGAGAAAAAGTTTCGGGCCTGAAAATAGTTGTTCTTTTATGATTTTGGGGTGCTGAAAATGAAAATGACATTTAAAAATGTATATTGGCTCTAGTTTTTATGATATAAGCAATCACGTGATCACGTATGGTTGAAAAAATGCATGTTGCGACTTACACTATGGAAGATTCTAGAAAGTTGCGGGCCTGAAAATAGCTGTTCTTTTATGATTTTGGGGTGCTAAAAACAAAAATGACATTTAAAAATGTATATTGGCTCTAGTTCTTATGATTATAAGCAATCACGTGATCACGTATGGTTGAAAAAATGCATGTTGCGACTTACACTATGGAAAATTCTAGAATACTCTAGAAAGTTTGATGATTAGTGCCGTGTGCAAAAGTCAGAAAGCCCTATATAAGGCCAGACTTTTGAACGGTGAGGGTCAGTCAGTTGAAGACTGAGACAGTATCGTTAAACATCGTTTTACATTGTTCTTTTTACTGTAGTTATGCCTCGCACGTGTGTAAATAAAGCACTATGGAAAAAAGATATCAAGGCAAATGGACTCCGTCAATGCTGTCAGACTACTGCTGGAGCATTGTAAGAGACAATCCTTTCCTTGAATACAAAAGAAAAGTCAAGAGAAGCAAACAGGATATAAACTAAAGTCACGATTAAAGCGACATTTAAACTTTCAGACTTTTCAACTGCATTAGGCCTACTAATATAGTTTCTTGCTGCACAAACATAAACAATAGACTAATTAAATAAATATTTCTCATGTATAAACTATTGGCAATATAATTTGACTAAAATTTAGTAAATATTCACGGTTTATATACATGCAGTAAGGTTAGGCGCATTATCATAATATTAACGAATTACCTATTGTGGAGAAAATTGAAATAGCTGTTGCATAAAAACCAGAGCCAATTAACACATTTAATTATTATATTTGAATTCAGCATCTTAAATTTATTAAGAAACGGCACATTTCGTTTCCGTAACTGAGAAAAACTGAAAATTTGTAAAACTGTTATTATATTATTATTTATTATTATCCTTTGGCAAAAGATCCATAACAATAAACCAGGTTCTCCAAGGAACTAGGTTACTAGCAAACATGCTGTGATGTGACCCTGTTTCTCTGAAAATAAGCCAGGAAATAAGCTCTAGCATGGTTTTATTTTTCATATAAGCTCTATCTCCAAAATAAGCCCAAGTTAAGATCATCAGACAAACAGACGCATTGGCGGTAGTACATCCGTTGCAATACACAACTGAGGTATTGAATGATACAATAAAAATATTGGTATGTAATTAAATATAAATTAATGTACTGTATATACTCGAGTACAAGCCTAGTTTTTCAGCCCCTTTTTTAGGCTGAAAATGTCCCCCTCAGCTTATACTCAAGTCAAGGTTATTTATTATTTTACTCTGTTGTTATTAGTATTTTTATTGCATGTACTAGCTGTCCCCTGCCACACGTTGCTGTGGCCCACTCTGGTTGTCATGGGGGTTCTGTGTGGGAGGTTGGCCCAGTTCTATCGTTGGTGGGGTTCAGAATGCTCTATGACTGTAAGTGAACTATAAATCCCAGCAACTACAACTCCCAAATATCAAGATTCTATTTTCCCCAAACTCCACCAGTGTTCACATTTGGGCATATTGAGTATTTGTGTAGAGTTTGGTCCAGATCCATCATTGTTTGAGTCCACAATGATCTCTGGATGTAGGTGAACTACAACTCCAAAACCAAAGGACACTGCCCACCAAACTCTTTCAGTATTTTCTGTTGGTCATGGGAGAAATGTGTGCCAAGTTTGGTTCAATTCCATCGTTGGTCGGGTTCAGAATGCTCTTTGATTGTAGGTGAACTATAAATCCCAGAAACTACAACTCCCAAATGACAAAATCTATTTTTTTGAGTGAAGGGACATACATTGGGTTGTTAGGTGTCTTGTGTCCAAATTTGGTGTCAATTCGTCCAGTGGTTTTTGAGTTCTGTTAATCCCACAAACGAAAATTACATTTTTATTTATATAGATTATTTTACTCTATTTATTATTATTACATTTATTAATTTACTCTATTATTATTGCATTTATTATTTTACTCTCTTACAGGCATGGGCCAACTTGTGCCCTCCCTCCAGGTGTTTTGGACTCAAACTCCCACACTTCCTAATAATCGGTAGGCTGTTAGGAATTGTGGGAGTTGGGGTCCAAAACACCTGGAGGGCCCAAGTTTGCCCATGCCTGCTCTATTATTACTGTTATTACATTTTCATTATTTTACTCTATTATTATTACATTTATTATTTCACTATTTTTATTATTATTGGAAGGATGCGTCAGCACATTTACATTGAAGAAGGTTAGAATAATGGTTCAATCAGAGTTGGACAGTCTTATCTAAAATTACAGTTTTATGTAAATATTCAAAAACATTTCACCTACTGATGCCTCAGTTAAAGTAATGTTATTGATATCTATTTTTATTATCAAATTTACACATAGCGGCTGCCTTTCCCACCCTCGGCTTATACTCGAAGCAATACGTTTCTCCAATTTTTGTGGTAAAATTAGGTGTCTCGGCTTATATTCGGGTCGGCTTATACTCGAGTATATATAATATAATAATATTATTGACGTAATATTATGACGGGGCCCTCTGGTGGTGCAGCAGATTAAATTGCTGATCTGCTGAACTTGTTGACGGTTAGAATCTGGGGAGCAGGGTGAGCTCCCACTGTTAGCCCCAGCTTCTGCCAACCTAGCAGTTCAAAAACATGCAAATGTGAGTAGTTCAATAGGTACCGCTTCTGCGGGAAGGTAACATCACTCCATGCAGTCATGCCATCCACATGACCTTGGAGGTGTCTACGAACAACGCCTGCTCCTTGGCCAGAAATGGAGATGAGCACCACTCTCTAGAGTCGGACACAACTAGACTTAATGTCAAGGGGAAACCTTTACCTTTACTTTAATATTATGATGACATTCCAGAAGATGACACGATTGTATTTGAATAAATGTAGATTGTGATACATGAAAAAAAATAAGACATCCCCTGAAAATAAGCCCTAATGTATTTTTGAAACAAAAATATAAGACCTAGACTTATTTCCAAGGAAATATGGCATATTGGAGTTTGGCCTCACTGTCCACCTAAGCAGAGGATTTTAATGTCATCTCCCATCTGTACTACCATATAATGCAGTTTCATATTGAATTACATGAGAGGGTAGACTCATATAGTGCAGTTCAATGCAGTTAAACAGCATTATATGGCAATATAGATGAGACTTCAGTAGGACAATGAATCCTGCAGACTCCTAAAGAAATTTAAATCAAATCCACCAAAGTCAACCACACAAATGCAGCGCAACAATTGCAGGTTACTATCCAAGCAATGCTCTATTTAGACTTCGCATCTATTTAAAACCATATTTACATATTTGTCCTTCTCGTTTCTATAGCATTCTGCAAACAGACATCTGTTTGCATTAACCATCAGCAGCATTATCAGTCAAACTATAAGAAATGCAAACCTACAGCTAATTAAAATGGTTAAGATTTTGAACCACCCAAAGGGACTTATCATAATGTCAGCTGTTGAAAGTTTGGAGGACTTTCCTGTCACCGAATTGTCTCCACCTGCAAAGGGAAGAAGAAGCATAAAACTCAGAAGAATCCTCCGATGACAATGGTATTTTCCTTACCTAAGCCTTGGCATTCGAGTTAGTACTACTATAATCCCTGCCTTGTCGTCATGGTAGAAAAGTGTCCTCCCTGTGGTTTACAAGTGATTCTAAAGCCAGAGACTGCAAACATTAAAAAGAGAGAATTATCAAGGATGCATTTTGTGTTCTACAGCAACCTGGGGGTTGTAGTTTTACAAGGTCTTTAGCCTTCTCTGCCAAAGAGTGCTGGTACCCTGAGGTAACATTAAGTCTAGTCGTAACATTAAATCTAGTTGTGTCCAGGGGCGGCTCAACCATTATGCAAAGTAAGCATTTGCAGTATAGTTGATTTTGCCCAGGGGCGCTCTTGAGGCGCTCTTGGGGGAAAATAGACCTTCACATATGCGAGTTGTAGTTATTGGAATGTATAGTTCACCTAAAATCAAAGAGCATTCTGAACTCCACCAATGATGGAATTGAACCAAATATGGCACATAGAACTTCCATGACGAACAGAAAATATATGTGATTGTTTTGTTTGTTTTTTTTTGGGGGGGGGGGCAAAATACTGTTTGCTTACCATTGAAAATTACCTAGGGCCGCCTCTGGTTGTGTCTGACTATGGCGGTGGTGCTCATCTCCATTTCTAAGCTGAAGAACTGCTTTTGTCCGTAGACGCCTCCAAAGTCATGTGGCCAGCATGACCGCATGGAGCAGTTACCTTCTTGCAAAAGTGGTACCTATTCATCTATTCATGTTTTCGAACTGCTAGTTTGGCAGAAGCTGGGGCTAACAACAAGAGCTCACCCTGCCCCCTGAATTTGAACTGCCAAACTTTTTGGTCAGCAAGTTCAGCAGCTCAGCGGTTTAACCCGCTGTGCTACTCGGGGCTGGCACCCCACCGAGCTACAAATCCCAGGATTCCATTGCATGGAGCGATGACAGGTCAAGTGGATGCACCCAAGGTCCTCTAATACAATTCATTGACCACAATCAGATGGGGTTTTCAGTGGACCTAAATTGCTCTAACTCTGTACTGTTTCGTAAACCAAGTTTAATCCCAAGTCGAAGTCCATTTTCACAAGTCCATTTTCACAATGTCTCTTTTTGTTTCCCCATAGGCGGAAATATGGCTTGAATTTCTCAGCCCCACCACTTCCTCGTCCTAAAAGTCCCCCTTCTCCTGGACCTGGACAGTACGAAATAGTTGACTTCAATGGACCAGCTAAGCATTACATCTCCAGTGCTGTATTTGTCTCTAACACAGGCCGCTGGTCAGGAGAGAATTTCCACCAAGAAGTACCAGGCCCAGGTAAAATTGCATTATTGTTGCTGCTGCTGCTGCTGCTGCTGTTACTATTGTTATGTCATGAATGACTTTTCAATAACTTTGAAGCATAGGTTCTTTTCATTGCAATTTCCAGTGTGAGAGGGTACATCAGATTATAGAAAAACATTTAGACGAAGAATGACATTGGACATATAGACATACAACGTAGTGCAATTGATTTTTGGTCCTTCAGGAGTTTGGTTCCATCTGATGAGCGTAGAGGCTGTATGCCATGGTTTCTTGGTCCATAGATGACCTTTGTGGCTTTGAAAAATCCCTGAGCATCATGGGTATCTGCCAGGTGTTGGATTTCTTCAGTCTTCGTTGTCTACCAAATGCTCTTGAGTTCTCTTGTCCTTCTTTGGACCTCAGCTTTTGTGCAGGCGTAGATCTTTTTCTTAGCAGCACAGTTGATGTCTCTCTGCCATGTTTGGAAGGCTTTCCTTTTCTTGTCAATTAGCTGTTGGATCTCGATGTCTCGATGTTGGACCTTGGCAGCCACCTCTCCACCACAGTCAACATCGACACCGAAATACAACACCGCCTGAGCTCTGCGAGCGCAGCATTTTTCCGAATCAAGCAGAGAGTGTTTGAGGACCGGGACATCCGTAGGGATACCAAGGTGCTTGTTTATAGAGCTAGTGTCCTCCCAACCCTGCTATATGCCTGTGAGACGTGGACTGTCTACAGACGTCACATGCAACTCCTGGAACAATTCCATCAGCGCTGCCTCCGGAAAATCCTGCAAATCTCTTGGGAAGACAGGCGGACAAACGTCAGCATGCTGGAAGAAGCAAAGACCACCAGCATTAAAGCGATGGTCCTCCGCTGTCAACTCCGCTGGACCGGCCACATAGTCCGGATGCCTGACCACCGTCTCCCAAAGCAGTTGCTCTACTCTGAATTCAAGAACAGAAAACGGAATGTTGGTGGACAGGAAAAGAGATTTAAAGATGGGCTCAACGCCAACCTTAAAAACTCTGGCATAGACACTGAGAACTGGGAAGGCCTGGCCCTTGAGCGCTCCAGCTGGAGGTCAGCTGTGACCAGCAGTGCTGCAGAATTTGAGGAGGCACAAATGGAGGGCGAAAGGGAGAAGCGTGCCAAGAGGAAGGCGCATCAAGCCAACCCCGACCGAGACCGCCTTCCACCTGGAAACCAATGCCCTCACTGCGGAAGAAGATGCAGAGCAAGAATAGGGCTCCACAGCCACATATGGACCCACAAGAATACTGGAAAACAATCCTCCTCGGAAAACGAGGGATCGCCTAAGTAAGTACAGACATACAGATTCTATGCAACTACATTGGATTTACAATTACATGACTAACAAACAAAGAGGAATTACATTTTCACTCAACGTTCACACCACATGTACACGCATTCATCCTCAGGCATTCAAATATTACCATATGACTTTCTCCCTCCTCAGAGAAGCACCAGTTAGGCCAGATCCTGCTTTCCTGCAGCCTGCCAATATATAGTTCCATAACTTCAAATCGCTGAAATGCCAAAACATTTTATCCTAAGAACAATGCCAAGGATCAGATCTCCATGCACAAACTCTAAGACTCCAAAAGCGCACTTCTTCCTCTTCCCTTGAGAAAGAAGCCCCAAAGTGACCAGACTGCTCCCTTGCAAATCTGCCACTCTCCGAATACACCACCTCTCTCCTTCCCATGGAGCAGAGCATGACGGGTGGACCAGACTCCTCAGGTCTGTCACAATTTGAGCATTATTAGACCGAGTCTTTTATAGGAATATTCTGCTGATGTGATCCCAAAGTTGTAAATTAATGATAGACGTCTTCTATCCTGGCTCCATCTCAGTTTCCTGGCCAAATGTTGACTCTTCTTGATTGGTGTTGACAAACACAAGGCTTGTGTTGACTTCCTTCTTAACATAAGAAATGCTGCAAACATTTCCGTAACTTGAAATAATCATTGTCACAGTTCTTATCACAGTTTATTTTTTCAGTTCTTATTAGCAGATTTTAATCACAGTCCAGCAAGCAGGTAGTTAGTCATTGCAGGCCTTAATATTATACTGGTGTCTCCAAAATTATTAACTCCGTCCATACATCCTTCCATTCAACTTATTCATTAAATTCACATTTATCAAATCTGCACATTACATTTTTGTGACAATGACAGAAGTCAACAAAACAATATTTTGGTGTCTTGGATTTTAGGCCTATTCCTGGAGTTATTTGAGGCAGTGGTTCAGAAAATTGCATTGGAAAGACCGCATCAGCTCTTGTTTCTTAGATACAGTTATCATTGTTTTCTATGAGCGAGCAGATGGTGACTGGTAGATGGCACATGTTCTGTATGTCAAAAACTAGAGCTGATAAGGGAAAGGTGGTTCCATTTTTGCAATCAGCGTGTCAAATATACCTAAAACAGGGCTTACATTTGAGACACCAAAATATATGTTAGCCAGTGCTGTTATTATTCGGGTTCTCTCGTACTTCCAAGGTAATTCGTTTTCTTTATAGTTTCGCAAGGCTAGAACCCAAAAGGCTCTTATTTGGAGCTGGAACGCAATGGGATTTCATAGAATCATAGAGTTGGAAGAGACCTCATGGGCCATACAGTCCAACCCCCTGCCAAGAAGCAGGAAAATTGCACTCAAAGCACCCCCCAACAGATGGCCATCCAGTCTCTGCTTAAAAGCTTCCAAAGAAGGAGCCTCCACCACACTCTGGGGCAGAGAGTTCCACTGCTGAACAGCTCTCACAATCAGGAAGTTCTTCCTAATGTTCAGATGGAATCTCCTTTCTTGTAGTTTGAAGCCATTTTTCCGCATCCTAATCTCCAGGGCAGCAGAAAACAAGCTTGCTCCCTCCTCCCCATGACTTCCATTGTACCCCAAGCAAATGGATTCACACTAGGACAAATAAGACAACTGCTACAGCTCTATGCTATGAAATCCTGGGAGTTGTAGTTTCACAATGACTTTGGGCTTCTCTGCCAGCAGGTGCATCTACATCAGGGGTTCTCAACCTTCCTAATGCCGTGACCCCTTAATACAGTCTCTCATGTTGTGGTGACCCCCAACCATAATATTGTTTTCGTACTTCATAACAGTCATTTTACTACTGTTATAAATCATAATGTAAATATCTGATATGCAGGATGCATTTTCATTCACTGGACCAAACTGGGCACAAATACTCAATACACCCAAATGTGAATGCTAGTGGGGTTGGGGAAGGATTGATTTTGTAATTTGGGAGTTGTAGTTGCTGGGATTTATAGTTCACTTATAATCAAAGAGCATTCTGAACTCCACCAGCGATGGATTTGAACCAAACTTGGCTCCCATGACCAATGGAAAATACTGGAAGGGTTTGGTGGGCATTGACCTTGAGTTTGGCAGTTGTAGTTCACCTATATCCAGAGAGCACTGTGGACTCATGCAATGGTGGATCTGGACCAAACTTGGCATGGATACTCAATATGCCCAAATGTAAAGACTGGTGGAGTCTGGGGAAAATAGATCTTGACATTTGGGAGTTGTAGTTGCTGGGATTTATAGTTCATTACAATCAGAGAACATTCTGAACTCCACCAACGATAGAATTGGCTCAAACTTCCCACATGGAATCCCCATGACCATCAGAAAATACTGTGTTTTCTGATGGTCTTTGGTGACCCCTCTGACACCCCTTCCCGACCCCCAGGTTGAGAAACACTGATCTACATACTTGGACTGCCCTGCATTAGTGCTATGAAATCCTGGGAGTTAGAATTTGGTGAGGCCTCAACACTCTTTGGCAGAGAAGGCTAAAGACCTTGTGAAACTACAACTCCCAGGATTCCATAGCATTTAGTCAAGTCTGTTCAAGTGGTACCAAACTGCATTAAATCTACAGTGTAGATGCACACTGGGTCAGTTTTCTCTGTGAGTCATGAAATGTGACACAAACAGGTTATAGTAATCGTATTACAAATCATACTCTGAAAAGCATCACTTGACTCCTTTGCTTTATTGCTGTGTTTGCTTGCTGGTTTCCAAATCAACATCATCTTTTTCCAATTGTTTTTGGGGTGTGCAAGAAAAGGGTGGATGGCCTTTTAAGAGGGGAAGGAAGATGACAGGCCCTGATTCACGAAACCGAGTCATCGCTGACTTGCCCAACTGGGAAGTGGCTTTAATAGCTAGCTTTGCTTATCATCAGCCACAGCTGAGGCTATATTCACATGGGGCTTTTTCAGCACTTTTCTTTGTTAGTTTTAGAATTTGGACCTGCCCTGTCCACAGAAACTGAGGAATGAGGCTTTTAAAAACACAGCGCCAGCAAACTTTGACATAAGAGCTGCTCCTGATTAGAGTAGAGCCATTATTAGTGTGTGCGCCTTCAAGTCAACGCCCACACAGGATTCGTTCAGTGGTAGTTTGGAGTTGTAGTTTCACAAGGTTTTCCACCTCCTCTGCCAAAGAGTGCAGGTGCCTCCCCAAACTACAAGTTCCAGGATTCCATTGCATTGAGTCAAAGTGGAGTCAAATTGCATTGATTCTATAGTGTAGATGCCCATATAGTTCAAGGAGAGTGTAACCCCATCTAGCACAGGCTGTAACCCTATACCCTGTTCTGCCTTGTGACTGACCGGGAAGACCTCTATCTTGTCAGGATTCAACTTCAGCTTGATCGCCCTCATAGAATCATAGAATCAAAGAGTTGGAAGAGACCTCATGGGCCATCCAGTCCAACCCCCTGCCAAGAAGCAGGAATATTGCATTCAAATCACCCCTGACAGATGGCCATCCAGCCTCTGTTTAAAAGCTTACAAAGAAGGAGCCTCCACCACACTCCGGGGCAGAGAGTTCCACTGCTGAACGGCTCTCACAGTCAGGAAGTTCTTCCTCATGTTCAGATGGAATCTCCTCTCTTGTAGTTTGAAGCCATTGTTCCGCGTCCTAGTCTCCAGGGAAGCAGAAAACAAGCTTGCTCCCTCCTCCCTGTGGCTTCCTCTCAC